ACTTCTGATAGTGTTATAATATATTTAAACTATTCTAATTGTTTTGTCCCACATCCAGTGAATTCGAATCAAAACCGCCTGAAAATGATTTTAAAACGGAATTTCCTTCATGGTTCGAAAGAAATTTAGATACCTTATATATTTATAATGTAAAACTAATTTATATTATTACTTAAACATTAAATCTTATATTTCCTTACAGATTTATCGTCTCTAAAAAGGTATGCCGTCAGACTGTATTGACGAATTAAATGTGTTGGCATATGGTCTGTTGAATGCATATTCTTACACTACATGCATAGTGAATGGTGTTCGATTTGTCGTGTGTAGTCATGATCTCCAGCGCACTATTCAAAATAGTGGTGTTGTTACATTAGGAGAAGATGGTACACCATTATATGGTCAACTTGAGGAAATCATAGAGTTGGAGTATTTAAATGGTTATTCAATTGTACTCTTTTATGGTAAATGGTTCGATGCGTTATTAAGTAATGAGCGTTTAATTACTAAAAATAATATGGTTGATATCAATACCTACCATTAATAGTGTTTCATTAAAACTGGTATGATGATCAACAATACATCTTAGCCACACAAGCTAAACAAGTGTTTTATCTCTAATATCCTAGTCGAAACAATAACTAGAGAGTTGTGGAAGAGGTTCATCATCGAAAACTTTGGGATCATCCAACTATCGATGTTGTTAATGAGATAGATGTCGTGAACGATACTCGATCATCTTATTTTACCTTGTTTGTTGACTTAGGCCCCTTGCGTATGCAAATGACTTTAGGTGAAGTTGGTGAGTCAAGTGTGGCTGCTAGGAGGAATGTTGCTCCAACTATAAACGATGAAGATTTCATTAATGATGACGAACACAGTGGTGATATGTATTATTCAGATAATTAAGAAGAAATAAATAACGAAAACTATGACAACGATGACGATATTGTACCTATATATTATATATCCTGATTAACGACATGTTACAATTATTATATATCCTGATTGCATATGATAGTTGTTAAATTTTCAAATGTTGCTTATAAGTTTTGTTTAAAGTATGTTTATTATATATTTTGAATGCTTATAATATTTGTTAAACAGATGGCATCACATGTCGCGAAGGGACATGAAGGAGATGGCAGAGACAGACCTCCTCACGAGAGCACACATAGGATAGGATCGGGTTGCGAATATTGTACGTTACATGAAATTATTAAGTATTTTAGGGTTCTAAATTTCTAAATTTCCAATTCTATGTGTGAATGTAGCAAACCCGAAGAATGTGTGCGGCCTAGGAAGGAACATAAATTTTTATGAAGCATATGATGATAACGGTAAGAAGCCTTTAGTCGTGCAACTTGATACCACCGGAGAGAGATGTTGATTCATAGGGGATACCGACCAAATGTTAGTTACATTGATCTCAAATCAGGTGGCATCAAAGATATTGTTTTATTATCCATCTTGGCATCGTGTTCCTGCAACTACAAAAATTATGTATATCCTGAGTTAGAAGGAGATGGCAGGGACAGACCTCCTCACGAGAGCACACACAGGATAGGATCGAGTTGCAAATCTTGTACGTTACATGAAATTCTTAAGTATTGGATATATCTTTAAAGTTCTAAATTTCTAAATTTCCAATTCTATGTGTGAATGTAGCAAACCCGAAGAATGTGTATGGCCTAGGAAGGAACTTAAATTTGTATGAAGCATATGATGATAACGGTAAGAAGCCTTTAGTCGTGTAGCTTGATACCACCGGAGAGTCATGTCGATTCATGGGAGATAACAACCAAATGTTAGTTACATTGATCTCAAATCAGGTGGCATCAAAGATACCGTTGCATTATCCATCTTGGCATCGTGTTCCTACAACTACAAAAAATTTATATATCTTGAGTTAGAAGTTAGTATACAATACTTTTTATATGTATTGAATTTTACACTTATTAAATATTTCTTTTACTAATCAAATATGTTTTTTGCAAACCTATTTTGATCTTAATAGGTTTTGGGGTACAAATTTGTAGGAACCCGTTCGATCGGGTATTCAAATCGACTACCAAAGAGCGTATAGAGAACGCAAACATGACGCGGAATGCCATTTTGATAAGGTCGGAAGATATATGGACGTAGAAACTGTAAGAAGACATCCACAGCAAAATTGGGACACCAATACTTGGAATGAGTTGATTGATTTGTTGTTTTTTACCACGAGATATAGACGTATGTAGGAATAAAAAATAAAGGTTCTAGGATGAAACTTCTACATAAAAGTATTCATGGTTGTATATCAAATGCTCAAAGATGTCATAAAGAGGTAATAATATATATTCGTATTATATAAATTTTTTATTAACACCTATATAAATATATTTAGTGTTTTTGGCTTATTATTGGAACAAAAAGGACATAAGCTGCATCATATTGAGGGTTGGAAATAGATACGCTTCAAGGAAGGCTCGGTTAAGTGTACACCTCGAGCATAAGAAGATTGGGTAAGTAATAAATAAAATTAATACGTTATTTAAACATGTTATTATTATTGTAGTTTTTGTTTAAGGTATATTATTGTTATTTTAGTGTTTAAATTTAGTTGTTTGTTTTAATTAATGTATGTTTATTGTTTTCTTTATTTTAGGAAAAGTATTCAAGAGGAATATAGGAAGATGCAAGAAGAGCTCGCAGAGGGGGAGATGTAAATGAGCTTCAATGCCTCAATCGTGCCATCGAGACGAGACGCAGACATACTCGCACAGTGGAAGGAAACCAACATCAAACATAGGTTTAATTCCAAATCAACATGCTTTCACATCTTCCCAATCTTAATCCCAAAATATGAGTGATTCCCAATTTGGTGTAACCCAATAAATGCAAGAATAATTGCAACAAATGCAAAAACGGTATAATGACTAATTGGCGGCCGTAATTCCTAACATCCAACCACCTAAGAGCGGAGCCACCTTAGGGCTAGGGTAAGCCCATGCCCACCCTCAAATTTTCAATTTTTTTTTTTTTTGCTTTTAAAAATAAAATATCATTTGGGTTCTTATGATATATATATATATATATATATATATATATATATATATATATATATATATATATATATATATATATGCTATTTTTTTTCTCTGTCGTAATTTTCTTCATTTGGCTAGCCTTAATTTGTTTCTCTAATATATATATATATATATATATATATATATATATATATATATATATATATATATATATATATATATATTCTAGTTAATTTATGAGGAACATCCTAAAAAAAATTGGTTTTGCCCCTACAACCACCACCAATGCCACAATTTCAATTTAATCTCAATATATTTCGAGGAAATACCCCCAAACTAACCACCGAGTGCAATGAAACCAGGAGACGGAAGAAGATTATGATAATTGATCTTTTGTGTTATTTTGCACAATGTTTGTTTGTGGTATCTCATTTTGGTATGTATTAGACCTGAATTTGAACAATCAGTGTTGACAATAGTTATTGAATGTTTAGATATTATGGATATATGCTGCAAATTGTCTGGATTTGTTAAAAAAACAGGAATGGTAAATAATAGAATTAGTAAAAAAACATATTGTGGTTGTATCGACCACATGTCGTCGATATAGGTCTTAACTGTAAAAATGGTTTTGACGTATACTGACGACAAGTCGTCATGTCGCTATTGCTCGAACTGTAAAAACGGTCACATACTTATGCCGACGACAGGTCGTCGCTATAGCTCAGAAGTCATTTATGTGATGCAGTCGGTATTAAAGGCTCGATTGTCGTCATCTACCTCTTCCTAGCCCATTTCAATAAGATTTCCGGGTCTATTGTTGGACTTAGATGCTTCACAAGGTGCATGAACATGTCTTGATATTCTTTAACGTCAAAAAATAGTACTCGTTATTTCATTGCATCTCTAGATATATGTGATTTTAACCATCATATGTTGGTTCATCTGCTAAGGGCAGTTGTTCGGATGTCTTAAATTCTAATTATGGGATTTCAATAAAAATGGTCAAAAGGGAGCATACGTCGCTTGTAAAAACAAGACAAAATGTTTTCGTGTATTCACCAAAATAAAATAACCACCTTAAAGGAAGCCTTTTTTAATAAGAACATCTTTTAAAGTAGTAAATAGTTATCAATTGCATGGTCAAAAGGACAAATATGCCAAATACTTGGTCAATGAAAGAAAAAAAAAATACCATATGACCATTATTTCACCAAGTTTCTACAAAAAGATGGATATCAAATATTTGAGAATTAGTGTTTATTATTTACATCAAAAGTTTTGTTATGTAAATACAATCTTATAAATTCACAATTTTACATCAAATTTTTTTGAAACTATATTACAGTTATATAAAAAAAAGTATTATTTTTGTAAAAAGTATAATTTATCTTTTACAATACATATTTCCAAAAATTATCAGCCAAAATGTAAACCGCTTATTTATTATTATTTAGCTTCCTTTATTCAACCTAAAAAAAATACAATATAGTTTAAACAATACTTAGAGAAACCTTCGATCACCTCAGGTTGTATCGATTGATTAAACCCCATAAACAATTTGAAGTTGGTTCACAAAAAGATGGTATTCAAAAACATCAATTTCATTATATTTATATAAAAATTGGTTAATTTGAGTTATGTTTTATTATTAATAAACCAAAAATAAATTTTGTGGGTGAAACAAAAATGGTCAAAATATTTATTATATAATTAAAATTTTGAATATAATTACTTAAATTATTATGAAAATAACGATAAAAGTATGGACCTTATAAATATTTGATGATGGCTGATGGCATATTGGCTGTTGTTGATTTTTACCTCTTTAATTAACCAGTTCTTTGAATTTTAATGGTCAACAAATATGACAATTTGACTTGGTCAGTGGTCACAAAAGAAAGAAGGAAAAAAAAAACACTACACATGACTATAAATACTCCAAGCTCCACACATTAATTCTCATCCTCTCCTTCCATCACAACACACATAACTATGTCCAACTTTCGGTTTTTAACGATCATCTTTCTCTTGGCCACACCCTTAGCAATCATCTCAGCTCAAGATTGTGGGATACAAGCCGGCAACGCACCATGCTCAAACGGAAACTGTTGTAGCCAATACGGTTTCTGTGGAAACACCCCCGAACACTGCTCGCCTGCCAATAACTGTCAGAGTCAGTGTACCGGGGGTGTAACACCACCTACCATTGGTGGTGTCGGTTCCATTATTACTGGATCCGTATTTGATCAAATGCTCAAGTATCGAAACGACCCAAGATGTCGTGGCAACGGATTTTATACTTACAATGCTTTTATAAATGCTGCAAATGCATTTAATGGATTTGGCACAACAGGAAATGATGAAGTCCGAAAAAGAGAACTCGCCGCTTTCTTTGCTCAAACCTCCCATGAAACAACAGGTATTTTAATTTTTTCTTTGTTCGGTCACGTTTTGTATTGTAATTTGACATGTAATTGACTGATCAGACTGAAAATGTATTTAAGTTATTTGTGTTAAAGTAAAGGATGGATTTGGTTGTGTAGGTGGAGGTGGTTGGCCAAGTGCACCCGATGGTCCATTTGCATGGGGGTATTGCTTTGTAAGAGAAGAAAATCCAACGAGTAGCTACTGTGACTCCAATGAATGGCCTTGTCCTCAACAATATTTCGGTAGAGGACCTATCCAACTCTCTCAGTAAGTTTTTAGTTTCTTAGAGCTTCTCTAATCCATCTCGTTTATTATTCCATAAGTTTTATGTTATATAAATTTATTAAACTAGGTTTACAAATGGAAAATTATTCTGATATTGTATCTAATTAACATTCTGACAGCAACTACAACTACGGGTTATTTGGACGTTCAGTTGGAATGGATTTGATCAACAACCCCGATCTCTTAGCCACAAACCCAACCTTATCATTTCAGTCAGCGATATGGTACTGGATGACTCCACAGGCTGATAAGCCATCGAGCCATGATGTGATCACAGGAAGATGGACCCCTTCAGCTGCAGATAGGTCAGCGGGTCGGGTTTCGGGTTATGGTGTCATCACAAATATCATTAATGGTGGTTTGGAATGTGGGCAAGGTACGAACGACAAGGTGGAAGATAGGATTGGGTTTTATAGAAGGTATTGTAGCATTTTAGGTGTTAGTCCTGGGGACAATCTTGATTGCTATAATCAAAGGCCTTTTGGACAGTGATATGTCGTTATTGGATATCTTGTAACTCGGAATAAAGAACATGAAAGTGTTATTTAAATCGTCATTTGAATAATCTGAATAATATGGTTGTGGATTTCATTACAAAGCATTTTTTTAACTAGATATTGCAAATTTCGTTCCTCAAATGATGTACTGCATCATATGTGTTTGTCGTATGGGACGACACACTGTAGCTATCAATGTTGGTTTTGTCTCAATTGGGTGCCTGAAAGAAAAGTGGGGACTAAAGAAAGTTTCCGGGTGTTTATTTTATAACATTTGTTATGAAATATTATTTAGTAAATTATTATTGGATTCTTCATATTTTTCTGTCTCTTAATTTATAATTTGTGGGCATTATAACAAATATTAGTTTTATGAATGTAGTTATGTATAGTGCATTCATTACGTGTCAAAATTCCAGTTAAACTCCAATCCTGTCAAAATCCCATGATCCAAACACAAAACAATATCATGTGAGAAGTAAACCAGGTATAGTATCATAGTGTATCATGTGACACGTAAATTAGGTACTCACTAGCTCATTCAAATTAGGAAACTAGGGCCCACAAAATCAAGAGAGTGTTACCATTTTAAGTCATTATCCTGACTCAAAACTACGTATTTTTTTTAGTGGTTCTAAAGGGTTTAAGTGCTCGTAGATGTAAAAGCAATATAATATTTACATAACTATAGATTTTAGAATCCGTAACAAACAGCGACATCCATGACTTATTTAACTACCGGTATATCAACTCCCATGAAACTGCAGTGTCAGTGCCAGTGTCAGTATCAGTACCAGACTGCCAGTGGCCACTAGTTGATTACAACTGGTGCTGACTCTTTATAATTGCGAGTGTTGTGCTGAGCATCGACACTCAGCGAACGTTTCGCAAAAGAGGCGCTTTTTGACACGCCCAACCACACCATCCAAATCAACCCAATCCAACCTGTCACCACAAAAACCAAATCATTACAACTTTCTAAATCTTTTTACTCAAAAAGACTAGATTTTTTTAATACACAAATAAATAAAAATACGTTGCTATTTCTTGCATTTAGGCAAAAAGGATAAAAATAAGAATGAAATACCTGCAGCCACTAAAGCAGCAATGATGGATGAGATTGTTACAGTGAAGGTAACAAAAGCAGCAACAAACAAAGTGGTAATGTAAAAAGCTGTCAAACAAAAAAAGAAAATTGCTAAAAAGCCGCCAACTGCCGCCATGGAGATGAGAAGAGAGATCACGATTGCATTCACAGTTGCCGCCACGAAGAACAGCATAAACACCAGTATTCCGGTCAAAGCTAGAAGAGTCACTGCCCCACCCTACACCAGTTTTCATGAACAAGAAATAGTGTCATAAATTTTCCATCTTTACAACTCAAGATCATAAATACTTTATCTATTTCATCCCAAACATCATCTATCTACATGAATGCAAGAGCAAAAAACAGGAATCGTAAGCAGGATATAACAATTTAGGGTTAGGGTTTAACAATTAGGCCGAAGCTCTGACTATTGAATGCAGCTACACGAATGATGCCCAAAAGCAAGCTCAAACAGAATGTAGAGACCGCTATTCTATTCGATTTAACCTAATTGGATTCACTGACATATCATCATCAAAATTCGAAGCCTTTGGATCAAAATTTCAACTCAAAAAGTTATCTACCAAATTAAAGAAACAAGCTTGATGTTGGATTTTATTTCAAAAGCTAGTAAGATCGAGGTATAAATGAAGCCAAAATTGATTTAAGTTAAGAATGTAGACAAAAAGGTAATAAAGTAACGCTATATAACCAGAATCAGCTGAATCTGAAAAGCTAATAAATACCACATAATAATTTCAACAAAATTGTTGTCCAAAATAAGATCGAATACTTACAGACACAACCAATAGAGCTCGGAGAGGACTACCGCGACGAGTCCATTGAAGAACCTCGCGGCGGGTGCTCAGGGTAGCTTCGCGAAACATAGGAGCTGCTTCTATGAACGATTTCTTGATCCGATTAGCCATAGGAGGACGACCAGCGCCTGAATTTTGATCAGGATTCGGATCGAAAATGGATTCGGTAAGGTGGTTGAAAACGCCGCACAAAGTTACATCTTCTCCTAATTCACCGTGGCTAACCTCAGATTTGTCTGATAACGATTTGGTGGTAAAAGATTTCTCTTTTTCATCCTCAACCACCGACGGCGGAGGCGATGATAACACGCTGCCGTTGGGTTTTTCCGTTGCACCACCGTTCATCACAGCCATTTTTGTTAGAATTTTGCGACGAGAGGAGGAGCAACAGGTGGCTTTGGATATAAATCGGGTAAGGTTAGCGAAGGTATTACCGGCCGTTCGATTTGTTGACTAAATGGGATGTCGAATGATCCAACGGCTTGATTTTATCGATGTCGAATAAGCGGTTTTAGTGGATGGTGTACGGATATGGCAAATAGAAAGTAATAGACACGTGTGCAGATATCTCGATGTTTGGATCGTGACCTTTCTACAATAGTAAAGAATTTCAAAAAAAGAAATATTATTTGGAACAATTTCAATCGTTTCATGACCAACTGGAAAAATTAATAATTTAATTTAATATTTTTTGGATAAAAACATGAGAAAAGGGAGAAAAACGAAAAAAAATCATTCTTTCTACTTTTTACTTTCAATTCAATAAACTAGATATGCTCTTAATGATATGGCTGAAAAAACAACTGGCCGACGGAAATAATTTTTTTTTTTTTTTGTATGTTCCAAGTTGTATGTATTGTATATGTTTAAGGTTATGTTTGGTGTACTAGCTGAAAAGCTAGCTGTTAGCTGAAAAGTTAGATGATAGCTGAAAAACTAGCTATTAAATAAAAAGCTAGCTGATAGCTGAAAAGCTAGCTGATAAAAAATAACGTTTGTTAAAACTAGCTGAAATATATAAAATTACATAAAATGACATGTAAGAGTATGTGTTTCTATAATTAATTAAGGAGATGTATTTGGAAATTTTAAAAAAAGCTTTTAAAAAGCTAGTCTAAGTAGCTTTTAAAAAAGCTAGCTTATAAACTACTTTTTTGGCTTACCAAACACGACAACATAAAAAAACTTGAAAAATAAACTAGCTTATCAGCTAGCTGTGGTGCGCCAAACACATCCTAAGATTTAAATAATAAAAAGCACAAAACATCGTTTCACCTCACCGGTCCTTACTACGAAAATGGCTAGATTGTAAGTAAATTTTTGGTATTTTTAGCATGTACAGTTTGCGAAAATATTAGATTTGTGTAACCTAAAATACCAAGTGTTATGATTAAGTTCATGGGAGATGTTGAATATCAAATTATTAAAGATGAAGGAAAATGGGACAAAAGGGGGTTTATGGAGGTGTTGATCTTTACCTTACTTCACATGATGAGAAATATGAAATTTAGCTTGTTCATCGGTATGTATTAGAATGGCAGTATGGCACCGGGGCAAGAAATATATGAGATTTCACAAAGGTTGGATACGACTTCAAGTATATTGCTACTGAAATTACAAAGTGGGACAAAACTATGAAATCAAATGTATTTGTAATTTTCATGAGTTGTATGTGGAAAAAATGAATTATTTGTGTATATGATTCAAAATAAATGCTGGAGAAGTAACAAGGCAAGATTAATTGTGATATTACGCACGACCCACATATAAGTTAATACACAATATGTAAATCTTGGAATACACGTATATCGGGTCGTGGGTTAGATATGGAATATAAGTGTTGGAAATGATAAATGAATGAATACCTCTTATAAATGGCTATGTAAATCCAGTTATTGTGTGTCAGTGAATTAGCGGTTGTAATATGTAGTCTCAATAACAAAGAAGGCATGGCAAAAAGGATGAGATCTTTTGGACATATAATGAAAAGGTTATGAGTATTTAAAAATACTTATGTTGCATAAAAGTGTTTAGAGTTTGTATCAAAGATATTGAATATATTATTTTGTTTAATCTTTTACTTCCATATTAACGTCGATAAAAATGTCAATACATATCGACGGAAGGCAAACGGGCAACAAGTTGTGCCGCTATCTCTTTCTGAATGGCAAAACTAATTCTTTTGAAAACAACTTGTGGATCTAGGAGATTTAACATCAGAATGCATGATATGTTGAACTTTGTTGAGGAACATAATGCAAAAGGATTAACTTGTTTGGACAAATAATCCTTGTGGATGGTCAAAGAATGGGATTTGCATAAAAATGAACTAGGATTGCATAAGGTGGTATAAAGATAGAATGGGAAAAAGGAAGCAAATACAGGGTTGCATTGCATGTTACACCGTCGAGTACTTCCATGCCCACGTATGCATTGGGGTCGTGTCAGTGAGAAAAGATAAGCAAACTACTCAATTGTTTATGTATAGCTCACGTAGAATCATACATACATGCATACATGGATAAAGGTATCAAAATCAACCTTGTCTAACATATCTTTAGTTATACGTAAAATAACCAAATCATTCAACATTTCTTGTGACATGTATATTTAATAAGAACCTATACCGAATAAAAACATTATGATAGCAATCAACAACTTCAACAAATTCCCAAATTTCAATCGTAAATATTATTATTAGGCAAAGTCAATTTCAACACTTTGATACAATATTTTTTTATGTTTTTTTTTTCATCCAGTGACTTCGATTCTTTTGAATCATATAAAAATCTAGAAATACTTTCAAATTTCTTTAAATGGTCAAATATGTTATTTAACGAAGCAACTTTCATGTCCACAACATCTAACAATAATTATATCTAAAACACTCTTTAACTGATTTTATTTCATCTTCGTTATTATTTTCATTGAATATTTTTTCTTCGAACATGATGTTTTATTAGAATAGTAGGCTCTACATCAATCTCATTTTGCAATGGACTTGGGAATATACAAAATAGAGGCAAATCCTTCATTTCTATAATTCTACCAAATTTCATTATACCTTGATTAATAGTTACATCGATGCACATAGATTTTATGACTCACTATATTTACAACAAATATAATATCACATCAAGTAAAACTTTAAAACTTTTAATAGCCATAAATAAACTTTATGGTTCCATCTTTATAATTTTAGATGATCACATGATCTAGATTATTCTGGCAAAAATAATTTTATTTGAAAAGCTTAAAATTCTGAGAAGTTTGAATTTATAAGAAAAATAAAAAAAAAATACTGAATTATAAAAATTAAAGTGTTTTTTTCTCTAAATTTAAAAAAATAATTTAGATAGATAAATAAATGAAATTAATGAAACTTTAATTTAGTAATTTTGAAAGTAAAAAGAAAATTTATTAAAGAAAATTAATATGCATTTATTATTGTATTTAAATACTATATAAAATTAATAAAATAAAAAAATCATAAAATGACTCCAAAATAAAAATTAATTCAAAACAAACATTTGTTAACACCAATGAACGCGTTTCTTCTCGGGCATCCAGAAATTCGATATATGCAACCAGCAAAATATTCTTGCGCATAGCTTCAACTTCCAGAAGAGTTAAGCAATAGACTTTTGGCACTTAGAAAAGGAATGAACCTCACAATTTTTACTATTGTTTTTTTACCCTATAAATGAGACCTGAAGTTCTGAGTTCGATTTTGCATAAATGCTCCAAAACAAGAGCATTTCGATATGGATTTTCCCTTCATGCTGTTGCCGTCAAGATGGGTCTTGAATCTAATGTTATCATCTCGAATCATATCCTCAATATGTATGCAAAATGCGGGAAGATGGAATTCGCTCGCCAAGTGTTCGATGATATGCCTGAAAGAAACCTTGTGAGTTGGTCTGCTATGATTTCTGGTTACGATCAGGCCGGAAAACCTTTACAGGCAATCAAACTCTTCGCTCGTATGAAAGTTGATCTCCCAAATGAGTTTGTGTTCGCTAGTGCTATTAGTGCATGTGCTAGCCTCTCAGCTGTTAATATAGGTAAACAAATTCATACAAAGTCAGTGATTCTCGGCTACTCAAACATTTCTTTTGTATCTAATTCACTTCTGTCAATGTACATGAAATGCAAGCAGTGTAATGATGCATTATCAGTTTTTACAAAAAGTTCTGAACAACCAAATACTGTTGCATATAATGCTATAATTACGGGGTTAGTAGAAAACGAACAAGTTGAGAAAGCATTTGAGATGTTCAAACTTATGATCCAACAAGGTCTTATTCCAAATCATTTCACTTTGGTACCTCTTTTAGGAAACTGTAGCACCACAGATAACTTAAGGATCGGAATGGAATTACATTGTGAGGCAATCAAGCTGAATCTTGATTCCATTCCTTTTGTTGGCAATGTGCTTATTAAAATGTACTCAAAGTTTACTCTAATCGAAGAAGCCGAGAAGATCTTTTGGTCAATTAAGGAAAAAGATATGATTTCATGGAACACATTCATCACAGCATGTAATCATGCCCTTGATCATGCCAAGGGTATAATCGTCTTTAAGAACATGATAGAAACATATAGTTCAATCCCAGATGAGTTCACGTACACGAGTGCCCTTTCTTCATGCTCTGGGCTTACATCATCTCTTTTAGGGAGACAAATTCATGGAAATTTAATCAGAACAAGATTTATCAACCATGATATAGATATAGGAATTGCTAATGCACTTATAAACATGTATGCAAAATGTGGTTCTATAAGATACGCAGTGACTTATTTTAACCAAATGAGGTTCCATAATCTTGTTTCCTGGAATACCCTCATGGCAGGATTTGCAAACCATGGATTAGGGAAAGAAGCAATGGGATTGTTTAAACAAATGAAGGGTTTACACATAGAACCTGATTCTGTCACATTTGTTGCACTTTTAGCAGCTTTGAATCACACAGGATTAGTCAATGAGGGTAAGTTTTACTTCAATGAGATGATGAAAACTTATGGGATTACTCCCAATGTGGAGCATGTTTCTTGTATTGTTGACTTACTTGGGAGATCAAGAAGGGTAAAAGAGGCAGAAGAGTATATGGAAAGATTTTGTTTTGAAGATGATCCTGTTGTTCTTGGGTGTTTATTGTCTGCTTGTCGTGTACATGGTGATCTTGTTATTGGGAAAAGGACAGGTGAACGTTTGTTGAAGATTCAAGAAATTTCTAGTTCGCCTTTTGTGTTGTTGTCTAATTTATATGCTTCAGAGAGCATGTGGGAAGGTGTTGCAGATGCAAGAAAACAGTTGAAAGATAGTTTGTTGAAGAAGGAGGTTGGACATAGTTTGATTGAAGTTAAAGGGTGTGTTGAGAAGTTTACTGTTGGAAGAATTTGTCATTCGAGAATTGAAGAGATTTTGGGTGTGCTTAAAGTTTTGAGCTTTTTAGATCATGACTATTCTTGGTGTTACTAAAGTTTTACTAATGATTGAATATAGATGTTGACTTATGATTCCCAAAACTTCAACATGAATGTCTTTCTTGATTTTGTTGAAGTCATTAGTTTTTGAAGCCAATTTGTTTGGTATTAAACCAAACTGAAATGCATTCATAACCCATCAAATTTACAATCAAATTTTGAACATGTATATTGATCCAATTGAAAATTAGTAGAATTTGCTTGAAACTGAATTACACTCTTAAGTTAATTGAAAGTCCTGCAACATGCTCTTTAAATTCTACTGATTTACATCTGAAGAAGAGGCTCTATGATTTTCTTTCTTGAGCACTTGCATAGAAGCATATGATGTGAGTGTAACACCAAATAATTGGTCAGTTTGATCTCACTTATTTTATCCCAACGATGTCATCTTTTGGGCGATTGGTCTTCCTCAAATATTCACAACCTAGCAAGAATATTTGGATGTTTTAACTTCGGTATTGAGGGACAAAAGTTAATTTTCTCCACAAATAGAGTATTTGGCATTGGGATGGATTCAATAAAGTTATCTTCTATAAAAATCATTTTACAACCTCAACCGACTATCTTTCTTTTCTCATACTTAGGGCGTTGTGGGCAAATATGAACTTATCGAAGGACCAAAAACCAGTTGTAGACAAATTCCAAACAGGCCTTTCAAGTTGGAACTTGGAAGGCACAAATAAATCTATTTGGGATTTCGTCTAAAAACAATTTGTTGATTTATTGACTTTTTGATAAATTATTGACTTTTTGAAAAATTAAGTCATAAAAAGTATTAAAGTATTTGCCAATATGAAAATATCTTTTAAAATTATTTTTCATTAAATCCTTAAAAAAGAAATTTCAATAAATTATGATTTCTAACTTTTCAAAACTTCTTCCGACTTTTTGGGTTATCTCTCTTAAAATGTAGTATATAAAAAGACAAAACAATTTTTAAAACAATTATTGACTTATTGACTTTTCCGCTACAAAAACTAATACTAACACTTTTTTTAAAAATTATTTTTCTATCGCTTAAAAGTCATTTTGAAGTTCAAAATTCCCAAACACCCTTTTATCATTTGACGGAAAAATCACTATCATTAAATCGATACTTGGAGGCTTACTGGCTTATTATTTTTCTCTTTTCAAAGAATTAACTTTACCATTCAAAAAGGCTTAGCGGCACAGCTTGTTGTCCGTTTGTCATCTCACTCATTGTACGATGATAATTAAAACGAATTTATTTGCTCTTTATAAAGCATTAAAAAAAAAGCACCACTAATTGTTATTTGTTATTGAGGTGTTGAAAAAACATACATATATTTATGTTTTTCGTAATAAGTGGTATTATAAGCATATTTTCTAAGGGCTTATCTTTTGGGACGCAAAAGTCCTTTTGGCAAAAGTTATAAAAAGTCAGGATTTCATGACTTTTCCAAAAAGTCAGTTTTCCTTATATCAAAAATCCAAAAATTGCTTTTAAAATGCTTTTACCAAACATCTTTTGCATCTTATCTTTTCCAAAAAGAACTTTTGGCTCTCAAAAGACAAGCCAAACACCCCCTAAAACCAGTCTTTTCTTTATCATATTAATCCAAAGACCAAGTTTCATGAAGCTCGAAGTTCAATTAAAAGGTTATAAACAACTTCGCCTCAACTATACACACAGAATGCATGTTCAATCAAAACCAAGGTTCTAAAAAGCTCGTCATGGCTCCGTCATGACGCGCCATGCCTCCAAGGCTTGTATGTGCCGCCAAGCTTTACCAAAACGCCGCCTTGACTTGTATATGTGTATAAAAATGAATAATAGTAGAAAATACATATAAAAATATGAATTATATACAAAATTGCCGCCTTAAGTCACGCCTTACAAACGACGTGGCTCGCCAAGGCTCGGAAAAGCATGAGGCTTGAGATTGCCGCCAAGTCACGCCTTACGTTATTTAGAACCTTGATCAAAACCCATCAAATACAATCACTCAATGTAAAACCTTAAAACAATCACACATTGTGTCTCAAAAGGTTATACAATCCAATTTGCAACTTAAAAAGATGATTTTTATGCCCATTTTGTTCTTGAGAATCATCACATGTTCAAGTAATACATTGAAATATTATGTTTGAAGAAGAAGATTGCTCACAAATTAAATTAGACTGCCACTAAAACTCAAGCTCTTATGTCACAGACATTTGATCGAACACTTTGAATGCAAAATACAAAAACTTGTTTGACAAAAAAAAATAAAGGCAGTGTACCTTAATTCACACTACAAAGCAAATCCCTTCAAGTACTCAGGATCTCGTTTCGCCCGTTCTTGAAACTTTTTAAACCACCGATCCAATATATCCATTGGCACCACCAATTTGCTCCCATCAACTCCACAAAACGATTGCATAAAATTAAACAAATTTTCCCCAACCTTCATAGCCAGCCGCTCAATCCTTTTCTCCGCTGCCACATCAAGTGATGGGAGAGAGGCCAGGTCTTCAACGGAAACGCCGATTTTGGCTGAGAGAGGGGCGGCGTCGGGGGCGGTGAGCTGTTTGTGAAGTCCTTCTCCGCCTGGATCAGGCCAGGGGAGGGAGAGGACGGCGGAAGGGCGGGCTAGGGTTACTGCGCCGACGAATTGGAAAGGGGACCCAGGTGATTGGATGTACACAGCTAGGGCTTTGTCGGGTGGAAGAGTGAAATTATTGAGAAGAAAGATGCAGACTTCGCGGATTGAATCATACGCCTCACCTGCAAGTGATGGAATTTGAGGGTTAGTTACTGATAAAAACGATTACTGTGTTTTGTGTGTGTGAACTTTGGACATTACCAACGAATGTGTTCATGTCTAGGAGCCAGTGAAAGGTGTCGATTTGGGTAAAAGTAGAGATGTCCATCGGGAAACTACGATTTGGGAACACGACTCCGAACATCGTTTCTTGATCTCTCTGTGTTGCGTCAAGATTCTGGAGGTTTTATTTGATGGGATCAAACGAAAAAGTAATTTGAATGTTCGCTTTAGTAGTTTAGTGAATCTGCGAGCTAGTGTCTAATGACACGGCAGCGAAGAAGATCTAGAAGGATCGAGACGACAATGGAAGCTGAAAGCGCGCTCTGTTAAAATATGGAGGAAGTTACCTTGGAAAAAAAAATGAGTAATCTCCAAAAACATGCTTTGTTAATAATAAACTAGTAAAGAACCCGTGGCTACACCGCTTTTGGGGTAATATGGAAAAAATTGGCCAACTTTAAAAAATATGTGCTGAAATTGTAAATCACCATAAATAGGGGAGAAAGTCGACAACCCCTAAAATTAGATGTCAAAAGTGTACAACGAAAAGAAGGGACATTGGTGGAGAAAATCCAAAAATATTGTGGCAATTATGTTAAAATTGTCAAAGTTGGGAAAATATGGTGGCAAAATTTTAAAGGAAGTTTTCTGTGTTTTTTATGTCAAAATGTAAAAGTTTTTACTACAAGGACGAAAAGTGTCAAATTCATTAAAGATTTGTGGCAAAAACACCAAAATGTAAAACCTTTGACTGCAAGGACTAAAGGTGTCAAAGTCATTAAAGATTTGTGGAAAAAACCTTAAGGCAGAAAAACTTAATTAAAAGGCAAAAATGTAAAAATTTTGACTTTAGGGACTAAAAGTGTCAAATTCAGTAAACTTTTGTAGCAAAAACTTAAAGCCTAAAAGGTACTATTCCTAAGCTCCTTTGGATTTAATATATATATATAATGGGAAATTGAGTAAACTAACTTCTTTGGTGTATTTTTAAAAATAATAACTCATTTAAATAATTCTTGCAAAATAACCATTTTTTGGAGAGTGGGCACTTCCTAAATGAACTCGGACTCGTTTTTTGGTGGGCTGGCTCATCAGGTATCCTTCGGAATAGCCATTGTGGGGTATTTGTACGTATTTCAGACCAAATTTTTGAATTTCGAATTCCGGAATATATTCCAAAAAAATCCAGATCTCAACTTTCCGATACACTCCGACATGCCACTTCGACTCCTTGATTTTGATTCCAATTTCCGACATGCCACTCCGACTTTCCGATTCTGACACACTAATTCGGAACTCCGACTAAAAATATGGAAGACGATCACTACGACTCGGTTGTTTTACAGGTAAGTCATTTAGTTCGACTTAAGATTTTGTTTATATTTACATCTTCCGGAATGAAATGACAACGTTCCGGAGTTGCAGTAGAAGATGCAAGTGCATTAGGACAAACTCAAACCTACTTTAGTCGTTTATATAATGTGATTATTCATCAAAAAGTAGTGTTTCGGGACAAAACATTGCATTCTTGAATGTGAATAACACCTCCGGAATGAACTGACCGCGTTCCGGAGTACCAATAAATGATGTCGGTGCATTAGGACTCACCCAAAAGTAGTTTAGCTTTTAAAATATGGTCATTATACATCCAAATCCAATGTTTCGGAACATAAAATTACATTCCGGAACTGGTTAGGAACACGAGGAACTGGTCCGGGACACGAGGAACTGGTTAGGAACACGACATAGTTTTTGATGTATCCATTATACTGTCTTGTAAACCCAAAATCGGTGGGGATATTCTTGCGACATTGAAAGACAGACCGGCATGCGAGACTATGTTTCGAAATTCTTGTTTTGGGAGGTGGCTAGATATTCCTAAGGTGGATGGGGATCATTTGCTTCTACATTACGTGTTTTGCCACGAAGTTAGCACGGACCCCCGAATACACGAAATGGTTTTTGAGAATGGGGGTTATGAACTGTCTTCCGGAAAGAAAGAGTTTTGTCATGTCACCGACTGCCACTTTGGTGACTATATTTTGCTGCTTCTAGTTCTGGTGCCACATCTCATTCCCATATTTTTCCAATGGTCGCGTGAAATGTTTTCATGAAATTAGATGATATGATGAAGGTGTTTAAACATTCGCTTAGAGGTTGTTTGTTTTTTGTTTATTTTTAAAACACTTCAGACCACTTTTATTGCGCGGCGTAGCATACGCGCACCACTTGCCCTCTGGCAGCAGTTTTTTTTTGGAAGGCTTCAGACTACAAAACCTCTACGGTTGTTCTGTGCGGCACAACATTTGACCTGCCTCTTCAAACCTCTTTAGCTTTCATTTTTCCAAGTGATTTTTTTAGAAATTTGGTATAACTTGATTTTTTTTTTGAACTTTGATTTTCTTTTTAAACTTGGATTTTTTTTTAACTTTGATTTTTTTTAAAAAATTTGATTTACGGATTTGATACAATTTTTTTTTATAGTTTTCATAATTTTTTATAACTTGATTTTTTTTAAAAAAAATGAACTTTGATTTTTTGAAATTTTTTTTACCATTTCTTTTAATAATATTTTCAGTTTTGGTTGCATCTTTTTTATGTCTGATTCTTTTACGAATTTTCTAGATATTGTTTGCAATAATTTCTTAATTTTTTTATATAAATTTCTTCTTTTATGTTCTTTAAAATTAGTTTTTTCTAGGAAAAAAAGAGACATGTACACTAAAGTCTCAATATTTTCATCTATTTGACAAGAAAGTCCTAAACTTTATTTTTTTGACAGTAAAGTTCTAATTACCGGCAGTTTTTGACACTTTTACCCTTTTTTCTGGTTAGCCGGTAATTAGGGCTTTTTTGTCAAAAATATAAAGTTTAAGACTTTCTTGTCAAATCGTGAATTAGGACTTTACTGTAAAAAAAATAAAGTTTATGACTTTCTTGTCAAATTGATGAAAATATTGGGACTTTAGTGTATATATCCCTTTTTATGTTAGAAATTTAATGGTATGATACTCTTTAAGCATAAGAGTTATTGAAACATTTTTTAGTCAGCTAGATCCTATTGAAATCCTTAATGTTTGCTTTTTGTTAAATAGTTTTTTTAATCTCAACAAACTGACATTGAAAAAAATGGAGATAATCAAGAAAGAAGAAAGAACCAGGGTTGTGTTGGATTTTTGCAGTCCCAAAAATGGAGACTAAGAAACCGAAAAAAAAAAAACAAATTGCCCTTCATATCCCATCTCCACATTCACACCCTTTGGACTAGACATGTGTTGCTTGTGTTTGTATAATCTGTCCCCACTTTTTAGTTCAAGATTTGGCGGCGAAGCAAGAAAAATTTGTTACAAGTCTTTTCATCCTTTCTCGCTCTCTCTTTTGCATATGTTTCTCCTGATCGTGTTTGTATCAAGTTAAAGATGACGATGGTAAGAAAAATAGTGGTGTTGCAACAAAAGTCACAATTAAAAGTTCTTGGGTTACGAAAATACACTAAAGTCCCAACATTTTTAACGATTTGACAAGAAAGTCCTAAAATTTATTTTTTCTACAGTAAAGTCTTAATTCATGTTTTCACAAGAAAGTCCTAAACTTTATTTTTTTGACAAAAAAGTCCTAATTACCGGCTAACCGGAAAAAAAGGGTAAAAGTGTTAAAAACTGCCAGTAGTTAGGACTTTACTGTCAAAAAAAATAAATTTTATGACTTTCTCGTCAAATCGATGAAAATATTAGGACTTTAGTGTATATATCCCAAAAAAACTAATCGCTTCTTTTACATTTTTTTAGATTTTTTTAGAAATTTTTATATTTTTGTTTTTTACATGTTCTTTTAGTATTCTTTCAATGTTTTCAGCCTAGAATTATTAAAAATTCGGTGTTGAGAACTATTTTCACTTTGTACAATCAGTTTATTTAAATTTCAATTTATTGCAGCTGTTTGCAGATGTGTAACATACATAAAATATGGTCCCAAAAATTTCATTTTTAATTATCAAATAAAACTATAGTTATCAAAACCTTTCATCAAAACATAAGTCAAGTATCCAAAACATCACAATCATGTTTATAAAACAGAATATCCATATCAAAACATCAGAGTAAACATCCCAGACTAAAACATCATGGTGTGTGCAATGCAATCATCCTGAGCTTTTCCCTTTGCTACCAGAAGTACCTGAAACCAAAACTGAAAACTGTAAACACGAAGCTTAGTGAGTTTCCCCAAACTACCACATAGCGTACACATAATCACATAATCACATATAAACATATCGTGGGCCCCGCGCTTCATCGGGCCCCGCCCGACATCGGACAGTGTCTGGCATCGGGCCCCGTCCGGCATCGAGCAAAGTTCGGTATACATATAAACATATCAACAAATACACAAAGAATAATCACATAACATAAACATATAAACATTCCTCGAGCACCGCCCAACATCGGACCATAATCCGAAAAACATACAAACATTCCTCGGGCATTGCCCGACATCGGACCGTAATCCGGAAACATACAAATACAGACACATGCAAGAATCACGAAGACATCAAGCATACAAACATTCGTCGTGCACCGCCCGACATCAGATCGTAATCCGAAAAACATATAAACATACATCGGGCTTTGCCCGACATCGGGCTTTAGTCCGGAATACATACAATCACAAATACGGGCGGACATTGGTGCCTTCGACCCGTTCAAACAGGAGGAAAGCTCACCTGAATGCTGAATCTCACGATAAGAAATCTCTAACGGCTGTTCTGTCGACTCCCCGAACTATCATTACCAAAATAGCACTTAGTCAAAATCCATTAATCTAAATTTGATATAAAATGACCATTGTACTCCTGACCTAAACTAGTCCATGACCTAGGCCCAAATGCATACACAAAGGCCCAAGCACTAGATAGCCTTCCAAAGCCCATTAGTGGCCCACCAATGGCCTAATTTTCTAAATTGGGCCAAACTCCTCAAATGGGCCTTCCCTTAAGTCCAAACATACTTTTAGCCCAAAATCTGATTTCTGATGACCCAATAAGGCCCAAAGCTAAGGAGTCCAAGAACCGGCCCAAACCAAGGCCCGCATGTGAGAAGCTCATTTTGACTGGGTACGTAGAGCGTACTCAGCTGTACGCAGCACGTATTGGGTTCATGACCTGTACGCTACGCGTACCGACTTGTACGCCCAACGTACTCTTCTGTTAAGTCTCTTTTGGTCATTAAGCACTTAACGCTTCCAACAACTGGTCCAAACCACAGATCTGAGCTCTACTAGACGTCTTGACCAATAAAGTCACTGACTTGGTCACTCGGCATGTCCTAAATAAGCCCAAACTCCAAAAATTGCATTCTATTTCCATGAAAGTGACCTTAACTCATGCATGGGTGGATTCCAACCGCCAAAATGGCAACTTGATGATTCTAGAACTCAAATAGCACTGAGAGTGGCAACTCTAAGCCTAGGAAAACGGATTTGGACAATAAAGCTTCATCCTTGGGACCAAAAAGGTCCATAAAACCCAACACAAGAGATCTAAGCAAATAAACACCAAGTT